CCAAACGTCAGGATATTATTACATTGGACCAGTAAGTATTTGACAAAAAGGTATTCTTTGACTTTTTACTAAATAACATATTCCTTCCCCTTTTTTCCCTTTAGTGCCTATCACGGTCACTTGACATCGGTAATGGAAATTTCCCCCTATAAATTTAATCAACCCGGTGGTGATCCAAAACCTGATTATGTCCACGTTGCTCCCTGCCCCGACGTGTATGGTGGCAAATATAAGGATAAAGATTACCCTAATGCTGATATGGCTGAAATCTACACGAAACCCATACGTGATATTTGTGAACAGTTGAAGGCTCAAGGTAAAGGTGTGGCGGGTTTCATTGCCGAGTCGCTGCAAAGTTGTGGTGGTCAGATTATACCTCCTGAAGGCTATTTTAAGGCTGCCTATGATATTGTTCGCGAAGCGGGTGGTGTTTGCATCGCCGATGAGGTGCAGGTTGGTTTTGGTCGTGTCGGCAGCCATTATTGGGCCTTTGAAACGCAGGGTGTTATACCCGACATTGTATGCGTTGCCAAGCCCATGGGTAATGGTCATCCAGTTGGTGCTGTGGTCACAACTCCAGAAATTGCCGAAGCATTTTATAACACCGGTGTGGCATATTTCAATACCTATGGTGGTAATCCCGTGTCGTGTGCCATTGCCAATGCCGTGATGCGTGTCATCGAAGAGGAGGGTCTACAGGAAAATGCCCGCATTGTGGGTGATTATTTGCTCCAGCAATGTCGTGAACTTAAATATGAATTTGAGATCATCGGTGATGTTCGTGGTGTGGGCCTCTTTGTTGGCGTCGAGTTGGTCAAAGATCGTGATAGATCAAACTAAAGCCTCCCATGTGCTTCAGTCAAAAGAATGCCGATGAATTCCTGTTGGCATTCCGTGAATCTCTGTCATTTTTGGAGAAACAAAGAAATGGCGACCAATTGCCAGCCAGCAATGCTGTCAATTCGAATTCCAACACTGCCAATGCTGAGAGTATGGCAAGTAAGACGCAGATATTTGAACGCCAGGAACGTTTGATTAAATCAGTTTAGGAATGTAGGAAAATTTCTTTAGCTTTGTAAGGTGTATTTTATAAATTAGTTCTAATTTTTTTTTTATTTCAAAAATTTTACTTTTTTGTTTTCTTTTTCTGATTTTTTGTTATTCTAAGTTTCCAATGTAATTCTCAATATGCAAAATTTTTTTAGTAAATCACTATATGAACCTTAAAATCATTGTATGTATATTTAGTTCTAGTATCTAGAATATGCTTTTTGTTAGTAATATTTTGTATTTTTTTGTTTTGTTTTAGAGATTTTTTGTTTTGTTATACAAGTTTAGCTTAAGCCAAAAAAATAATTCAGAATTGTTATTGCAAGTTAAAAACAAATTGTTACAAGGTTTATAATAATCATTGAAATTGTGAGAAGCAATAATAAATATGCTACTAAAGCATTAGTAAGTATATCAATGTTTCATTGGAATAGGTTCCGTTTCCGGGTTCTTATATGGAGAAACACCCCTGCAGGAAATGTTCAATATGGAAATATGTTTTGCTATAGCTCCAAAATATAGGCCAATTCGGTATTTTGATATTTTTCGCTCAATTTCACCAAACTAAGTGGATCCAATTTTGTATTCCAGGTTTTCAAAGGGTGAAAACCTATTTTACAGAAAATGTTCGTCATAGTTCCATGTTCTCACGTAAATTCCATTTAGAAATTCCGCACATTTTCGGTAGTTGGAAGATCTTAACCTCATTTTTCAAGAGACTGGAATTTCGTATTCGTCTGTCCGTCCATGTATTTTTGTTAACAAAGTACAGGTCGCAATTGTGATCCGATTTGGATGAACTTTGGCACAGTTCACGTATTTGGCCCAAGGGCGAACCCTATTGAAATTGGGAAAAATCGGTTCAAATTTAGATATAGCTCCCATATATATTTTTTTATGTAAATGGTGCACCAAAGTCCCTATATATCCTTCGATTTGCATGAAATGTGGCACAGCATTCTGAATTAAACCTAGAACGACGTGTGTAAAAGTTCCTGAAAATCGGTTCAGATTTAGATAAAGCTCCCATATATATATTCGTCCGATTTTAGGTATATAGTGCACCAATGTCCCTATATATCCTTCGATTTACACGAAATTTGGCACAGCGTACAGAATTAATTCTAGAACGAAATGGTGTAAATTTCGTGAAAATCGGTTCAAATTTAGATATAGCTTCCATATATATTTTCACCCCATTTTAGGTAAATAGTGAACCAAAGTCCCTATATATCCTTCGATTTGCACGTAATTTGGCATATCATTCTGAATTAAGCCTAGAACGAAGTGTGTTAAATTTCCTGAAAATCGGTTGAGATTTAGATATAACTCCCATATGTATTTTCGTCCGATTTTATGTAAATGGTGCACCAAAGTCCCTATATATCCTTCGATTTGCACGAAATTTGGCTTAGCATTCTGAATTAAGCCTAGAAAGATGTGTTAAATTTCCTGAAAATCGGTTGAGATTTAGATATAACTCCCATATATATTTTCGTCCGATATTAGGTAAATAGTGCACCAAAGTCCCTATATATCCTTCGATTTGCACGAAATTTGGAATTATAAGTAAATGAAGAGTTCAAAATGTGTCCGAATGCAAAAAACATACTGAAATAAGTGTAACCTAACATGTGACAAATTTCGATGAAATCGGTTAAATTTGGATATTTTGCTTTAAAAGCTGACCAAAATAGGTTGCGGAATGAAATGTTTTATTTAATGTTGATGGTCCTTCAAAAATGTGACTTCTGTTAGGATTCCATTTGTTGAATATACCCAAAGTGGTGAAGGGTATCATATAGTCGGCCATGTCCGACTTTACCTCTTTCCTTACTGGTTTATTTTAATCGAATTGGCAGCGATTTAATTTCCTCCAAAATACAGAATTTTTCAATTAAATTGACTGAAATTATATGGCTTTTGTAATCAATGTGTCGAAATTTTTTATACCCTCTACCATAGTTTGGAGGGAATATTAAGTTTTGTTTTTCCGTTTGTAACTAATCGAAATAATAATTTCCGACCATATAAAGTATATATATATATATGCTTGATCAGGGAAAAATTCTATGATAGTGTAAAATAATATGACAAAACATGTCCGTCCGTCAGTTTTCAGTATTTTGAGGTTCTTGAGATCGTTTTTCATAGAGTTCTTATTGGGTACCAAAATATCTCCACTAAAATTATAAATATAGGTCCAGTTTTTCTGTTAGCCCCCATATAACGGTACCTTAAATTTTCAGTATTTGGAGGGTTTTGAATACGTTTTTACAGAAATTTCTATAATTCAGTACTTTGAGTTTTTTATCTTCACTAAAAATTAGAAGTGTAGGTCAATTTTGTCGGCTACCCCCTATATAAGGGTACCTCCCAATTTTCGGTATTTTGGGGTTCCTGAACGTGTTTTCCAACCGAATTCGATGTAATTCGGTATTTTGGGAGATGACTATTGACTCATGTTTCAGTATAGCCCCCGTATATCGGAACCCCCAATATTCGGTATTTTGGACAGCGATTTGGGTTATCATTGAATAACACATATCCGTACCAAAAATGATTAACATTGACCCAAGTTTCAGGTTACTCCCCATATAACGGTACCCCCGAAATGCGGTATTTTTGGGACTTTGGAAACGTTTTCAAACGAATTTGGTGTTATTTGGTATTTTGGGTTCTCAGTGTATAACTCATCTCCGTACCAAAAATTATACAAATTGACACAAGTTTTAGGGTATCCCCCATATAATGGTACACCCAAATACTCAATATTTTTGACACGTTTCCCAATCAAACTGGCTGCAATTTGGCATTTTTGGTTCTCATCGTATAGCACATCTCCGTACCAAAAATTATTAGTAGTGACTCAAGTTTCAGAATAGCCCCTTTATAACTGTAACCCCAGTATCCTGTATTTTGGACACTTTTTCAACCGAATTGGATTTAATTTTGTTTTTTGGGTTCTCATTGTGTAGCACATTTCCGTCTAAAATCGTTTAATATTGACCCACGGTTAAGGATAGCCCCCATAATATGGTGCCCCCCCAATATGGGATTTGTAATTTGGTATTTTGGGTTCTTTAACGGTATCACCTCATACCCTAACTAAAAATTATTAATATTGACCCAAGTCGGTATTTTAAGCATTTTGAACACGTTTCCAACCAAATTGGATGTAATAAATTTCACTGCCAAAAAATATCAATATTGATCTCTGTTTTAATTTAGCCCCATAGTCCAGGGGGCTACCTTTACCCCCTAATATATATTTTCAGAATTTCAACCATATTTTTCTCACCTCTTTTTCGGTATATTCAAGATCCTGTCATGACTAATTTCTTATTAAAAATTACCAATGATAAGGCATTTCCCCATTTCTGGCATATGTTTTACACTGAGTTGGATCTATTCATGGGCTGTCAAAAGAAGTCCACATTTCTTTGTATGGGAGCTTATACAAAGATCCTCCGTCATATTCGTTATATTCAGGGTCTTATCCAAATTTTCCAATTTTAGTGTCAATTCTTTGGTATTTCGTTTTCTAGTAACAGCAATTTATCATGGCGTCTATCCTGTATAAAAGTCTCTATCGATTTTTAAATATGAACATCATGATCATGGTTATTAAAATTTTGAACTTAACAGCATTTTTACCTGTTCATTGCTAACGGTCCCTCTTCATTATGAAAGAAAATATCCGATCTTAACTTTTTTAATAAATAAATGAATAATTTATTGGAAGAAAAAATATAGGGGCTCAAAATAGGAGAACAACTTTTAAATACCTTAACTTTAACATGCAGGATATACAAATAAAAAATATACATATTATACAAAATAATTTAAAAAAAATATACAAATATTTTACATGCGTATAACATAATGTGTTTTCACTTGTGACAAATAAAACATTGCATTTAACAATAATAAATTAAATTTATATTCATCTAGGGTACCAGCCTGGCTCTCGCATCATTGTCATAATCTCCCACTGTTCGGGTGATATCATTGTCGGGCTCTTCAACCATGATATTTGGTACAAGGGCGAGGGGTTGTCTACTCTTTTCCATGGTGCAAATTTCCTGAGGCTGTAAAAGTGAAATTTGTTAATAAAGGTTCCTGTTGTTGTTTTTTTTGATATTAAGATTTTGGAAATGGTGTATAATAAAGGAAGCCAGTTGGCTGACGAAAAAGGTAGATGGTATTTATGATTTCCAAAAACACGTTTGACCTATAACACTACCACTAAAAAGCCTACTTAAATATTGATAAGCAATAAAAAAAATTCACAATAAAACCAATTATTGAAAATGTTCCCCATATCTGGTAGCCATTCCACCTCCCATGCTGATGTTACCCCACCTACCTTGGCCGTTTCCAAGAGAATTTCCGTATTATTGTTGGACGATGATCCGCGTAGAAATTTCTGAATTTGCGACGCAAAGTACATCCGGTCATTGTCCTCATCGAACGATGCTGTTGTCGTTCCCGTCGAACTTCCCGTTCCGCTGCTGATGAGCCCACTGTCCAAGGTCGAGGTCTTGGCACTTCTCTGATGTGGCAACAGTGACGACAAAGGATTCTGGAATTGCAGGTTACGAATAAAATCACGTTGACCCTGCTGTTTGCGACGATAATACAAATACCCCAAACCACAAACTGTTAATGCAGCTGCCAGCAGCATAAGCACAACAAAGAGTACAACATGTGAGGAACTCTCATCTTCATCCATTGCGGAGGAACGATTTCTTAGCAGAGCACTTGAAGAAATTTCATTACTCGATTCGCAATATTTACTCTCACTGACTATGGAATCACCGCACATACATTCATAGCTGAATTCCGTTTGGACACACATGCCACGACATTTGGCCATGCTGCAAGGATTTCTATTCATCGGTTGCCTGGAGATGCCATCCACCAAAATATCCTCGGCATTGAGAATATTCAAGTTGAATGCCTTGCACGATTTCGATCCATACACATAACAGCGTACCGCCTCACGGGCACCCATATTTACAATGAACACCTGATTTTCATACCATGTCAAGCCGGATGGATGCATAACCACATTTCCCTTTTGTATTAGGGTTATGGGGGTACGGCTAGAACCCGATCCATAGTTAATAGCCTGTAGAGTTTTACTTAATGATTCGGTGAAGTAGAGAATTTTCTTGTAGGGATCACAGGCCAGTGTGGTAACAAAGGTCATCTCTTTATTGAGCAGATAATCACGTTTACCACCGCCATCTAAACTTGTGCTGGCAATGCGTGATCGATGACTGCCAAAGGCTTGTCCCTGCATTATGACAAAAAACATTCTCCGATTGTAGGCATCTACGGTGAGGGTTTTTATTGTTTCCCTGGGTTGAACTTTAATTACGGCACCGCACATTTTCGCCGCGAACGAACAAACTTCTATTTGATATTGTGCCGTGCGACTGATGACATAAACATTGCCTGCATATGAAAGGATGAAAGGGTTATAAATTCGAGTGTATAGCTTAGAAAACGGAGACTATAGATGTAAAATTTCTTCTATAGATGGAATATTTCTTCTACAGATAGATAGAAGACCTCTTCTACATATAGAATACCTCTTCTACATATAGAAGACCTCTTCTACATATAGAAGACCTCTTCTACAGATAGAAGACCTCTTCTACAGATAGAAGACCTCTTCTACAGATAGAAGACATCTTCTGAAGGTAAAAGTCCTATTCTATAGATAGAAGAAATTTTAGAACTTCAAATATATCTACAAAACATCTATTTCAAATCTACTTTGAGAATTTGTGATTACTCACCCGTTATCCAATCGACAGCAACTTTACTTGGCATCTGAACTTCCAAGGCCGCCTTGATCGCACCACTATCAAATATCCATTGCGTGTACGTATATTTATATCAAATCCCGTAACTTTCGAATCATTCGCTTTCCAGGCTACCTTTAAAACAATCGGCTGTTCCGTCATGCTGCGTACCTCATCAAAGGTGGTGAATAGTAATGACCTCTCACTTTCAATCGATTTACATGAAGTCTTATCAGGACGCATCATAAAATCAGGAAAACATGAACAACGATACGAACCCATAGTGTTTTCACACAGCTGGGCGCATGGATCCAAATCTTCACATTCATTGATATCGACACAGGTGCGATGATCAGCATCAAGTTTATAGCCACTGAAACAGGAACAAACCGCACCCGATGGTGTGGGTCGGCATTTATTTTGACAAACCGGATGACCAGCTTGAGGATCACAGGCCGTTTTGCACAGTGGGCCTTCATCGGCACCCGTATCACAATCTTCAAAGCCATTACAGACCCTAGACTCATCGACACATTGGTTATCTTTACAATCGAACATTTTCGGACCACAAGCCATTTCATGGGTATGTTTGGCATTGGTGGTGTGATTCCACGCCCCACGATGCTCACAATTCTCCTCGTCGGAACCATCGGCACAATCTTTCTCATGATCACAACGGAATTCGTTGCGAATGCATTCTTTCGAAGTTTTACAATGGAATTCGTAAATACTGCAAATATTACCACAATCAACTTCGTCTTCTCCGCGTGGACATTCGGCAGACCCGTTGCATTTGGCTGACATATCAAGGCAAATATTGGGATCACTAGGACACTCAAACATGGGAACGCGATCATCACCGCAAGACATTTTACGTTTTTTACCCGCCGACATATCACAATTCATTTCGTCCGAAGTATCGCCACAATCATTGTTGCCATCACAGACCAGACGACGATCGATACACTGGCCCAAAAGGCATTTGTGCATGTTCGTGGGACATTCTCGAATGCCTGCAAGAAAATAAGAATAATTTCAATAGCTGAAAATATTAAAAGACAAGAAAAGCGATGTGAATTTGGGTCAGGTCGAAATTTTATGGCTACATCGATTGGAAAATCCGACTGAAACTGTTGCAAAAGCTACGACAAAATTCATGTCTCTTATACCCTTGAAATCTGTCCAATTGTATTGCCTTTTAAATGCCCAATCGAGAGGCAACACTTTTAGAAGTGGTCGCGACATTGCCATTCAAATACGTAGGCGATTTTTAGCCTCTTCTCCACTTACCACATTTGTCATGTTCGTCGGAACCATCTTTACAATCAATTTTTCCATCGCATTCCCAACTTTTCGCCAAACAAGTGCCGGAATTGCATTGGAACATATCGGGGCCACAAATGCGCCTTGGACTGGTAACATCTTTGCCACGGGCCAGTCGGCAATCTGCCTCATCTGAATTATCGCCACAATCGTTGAAGCCGTCACACATGACACTGAAGTCAACGCAGTTGCCATTGTCGCAGACATGTTGGTGGCGGTGACAGAATTTGGATTTATCTAAAAAAATCAAATATTAATTTCCAAATCAAAAACAAAAATCGAAAACCCTGACAATCTTACCGAATTTCTCACAGTGCTCCTCATCGGAACCATCCGAACATTGTTTTTTACCATCACAACGTTGATCACCGTCCACACACTGCTCTCCATTGTGGCATCTAAACTCTCCTATGGAACAAATAACTTGCGGTTTATGCCCCTTGCCATTTTCACAATTCTCTTCGTCCGAACCATCGGGACAATCTTTGCGGCCATTACATTTTCTCGACATTGTCAAACATTCACCCGATTTACAACGGAATTCACAATCCAAAGCTTCAATGCACGTCCGATTGGTGGCATCGCGAAATACCAAACCGGCAGGACAAAGACAACCCGAGGCAAATTTCCCCAATGTCACACAGATGTGGGAACAACCACCATTCCAATGTTGACATGGATGATCGACAACAATTGGCGATGAACTTGCCAAAATGGGTATTCTCACGGGCAGGGAAACGGTACTATACAATTCTCGATTAACTTCGATATCGAATCGTTTCAATGGACCCATATTACTCTTATGTGTCCAATGGATAATATTTGAATTTAATTCTGTCCAGAAAAGATCTTCATCAACGATGGCTATCGAATAGGGACGTTTAAGCCGACCACGAAAAGTGTAGGCCCTTAAATTACGATAATCCGAAAATGAAATGCGTCCGAAATCACTGTCGGACCAATAGAGGGTTTTTGTCTCAAAATCTGTTGCAAATCGTATATCATCATCACCCAATTCATCTTCGAAGGCATGGGTGTGTTCGCCTTGACCGCTAAGAGATTTTTGATCGATATGAACATGCCGCCGGGATCTTAACGCAATAAACATGATGCTATTGAAGATAGAATATAATGAAGATCGAATTATTTTGGCATGTATGTAGATCCAATTTTTGTTTCAGATGTACTTACCCATCATCTGGTATTACCGCCAATCCAATGGGTACCTCTATGCCCGAGAAAAATGATACAATGGCTCGTTGTTTGGTTTGCAGAGAGAAAACTTCAACAACATGTCTCTCCGAATCACTCCAGTATAAGCAATAAGACAGGTGATCTGTAATATTAGAAACCAGTAAGGAAAGTAGTAAAGTCGGACTGGGCCTTCACCACTTTGGGTATATTCTACATATGTATCCTAACAGACGTCGCCTTTTCGAACGAACATTGACATGAAATTGAATGAATAGGTCGTAATTATATATGGAAGCTATGCTATATCTAAATCTGAACCGATTTCAAGGAAACTTGTTAGAGATTAATTTATATGCATGTCTGTAGGTTGTGTCAAAAGGCCTAGCTATGTGTCTTTAGTGCAGCATTTACCTAAAATCAGGCGAATGTATATGTAAAGCTGAACCGTAATTCTAGACTCAGTTCAGTGCGCTATAGCAAATTTCCTTCAAATTGAAGTAAATATAGTGGCTTTGGTACACTATTTACATATGGGAGCTATATCTAAATCTGAACCAATTTTCACGAAACTTAGCACACATCATTCTACACTTTATTCAGTGCGCTATACCAAAATTCGTGCAAATCGAAAGATATATAGGGATTTTGATGCCCCATTTACCTGAAATCGGACGAAAATATATATGGGAGCTATATCGAAATCTGACCCGATTTTCTCGAAACTTGACACACGTCATTCTAGACTCAATTCAGTACACTATGCAAAATTTCGTGCAAATCGAAAGACATATAGGGACTTTGGTGCACCTTTCACATAAAATGAGACGAAAATTTATATTGGAGTTATACTTATATCTGAACCGATTTTCACGAAACTTAGCACACATCATTCTGGACCTAATTCAGCACCCTATGCCAAAAATCGTGCAAATCGAATGGTATATAGGGTCTTTGGTGCATCATTTACATAAAATCAGACGACAATATATATTGGAGCTATACCTATATCTGAACCGATTTTCACGAAACACATCATTCTGGACCTAATCCAGCACTCTATGCCAAAAATCGTGCAAATCGAAAGGAATTTAGGGACTTTGGTGCACCATTTACATAAAATCGGACGAAATTATATATAGGATCTATATCTGATCCGATTTTCACGAAACTTAACAAACGTCACTCTAGATTTACTTCAGTACTCTGTGCGAAATTTCGTGCAAATCGATAGATAGATATATAGGGACTTTGGTGCACCATTTACATTAAATCGGAAGAAAATATATATGGGAGCTATATCTAAATCGGAACCGATTTTCTCGAAACTTGACACACGTCAATCTAGACTCAATTCAGTACACTATGCACAATTTCGTGCAAATCGAAAGATATATAGAAACTTTGGCGCACCATTTACATTAAATCGGACGAAACTATATATGTGGGAGGTATATGTAAATCGGAACCGATTACAACAAAACTTGACATATATCAATCTAGACCTAATTCAGTACCCTGTGCAAAATTTTGTCTCAATCGGACCAATATTGACAGTATGGTGTTCCATTGACATAAAATTGGACGAAACTATATATTTGAGCTATATCTAAATCTGAACCGATTTGGTCCAATATTAATAGGGTTCCTCCTTGGGCCAAATAAGTGACATATGCCAAATTTCATCCATATTGGATCATAAATGCGATCTGCACGTTGTTCACAAAAATACATGAACAGATCGACTCAGAATGTGATTCTATGCATATTCTCAAAAGGAACCATGGGTCTATATCGATTGCTTTCGCCTGTTACAGACATATGCACAAGGATATAATACCCTGTACCACAGTGTGGTGAAGGGTATAATAACTTACCAAATGCCAAACCGGTAATATTTCCCAAATTCGCTCGCACCAATTTCGATAAATATTGACCCTGTATATTAAATTCACCAATTACATGCTGATAATTATCGGCAATGAAGACCGTATTATTTATATTATTATAGGCCATTTCATGTATAAAAAAATCCAAATGATGTGTAGCCGATACCGTGTGCCGACCAAATGTTGTGTGCTCCATTTCGACGAGATTATTACGAACACCTAAAAATAGCCTCTGTTTCTTATGGGTCTTAATGCAACGCATACGATCCGGTCCCAATTGCATGCCGTCGGGACAAGCACAACTGTAGCTATTCTTTTCCGCCAGCAGGCATAAATGAGAGCATCGAGCCTGTTCACAGGCATGGGCGATTTTCTTCTGCTTCGACGAATGATAAATGTGAACGGCATAAATGGTACGATCTTTGGTAATAATTGAGTGATCTTTGCCGGTGAATTTATTACATGAGTGTATGGACTTGGTACCCCAGTCGGACCAATAAAGTTTATCTTCAAATATGGCCAAACCATAGGGATGTTTGAGAATGTCTTCTAACACGGTGCGACGATCTTGACCATCTGAGCGTACACTTTCAATGGTCGCCAGCTTGGCATCCACCCAATAGACTCGATCATTGTACATGTCCAAGGCGACACCATTGGGCCAATGGATTTTATCGGTTACTAGGCGTATGGAATTTCTGCCATCCATGGAGGCACGAGCGATCATTGGTATTACACCCCAATCGGACCAAAAGATTTGGGAGCGTTGTGGCCACAAGGCTACGCCACGCGGTTGATGAACATCATCGGTGACCAGGACAGTGCAGTAGCGGCCATCATTTGAGCAGACCGCAATGTGATGCATAACATTATCCGAGAAATAAATGTTGCCTGGAATTCCAAATAATTTAAGTCATCCCCTTATAAAAAAGTGACCACCTCTACTTACCAGTTAACCAGTCTACTGCCAAATCTTCGGGAGCATCTAAACCGGATGTCAGTAGCACCTCCTGCTGACTACCATCCGGATTTGCCTTGACAATACTTTCACCTTCATTTTGTATATTGGTCCAGTAGATATGCTCACCATTGTATGACACACCAATCACTTTAGTCAGATTCTTAGCCACTGTATAGACACGTCGTGAACGCAAATTGACACCCATCACGGTCACTTGTGTCGTATACAGTAGTAAAGCCTCTTCACCGATAGCTTCGCAAGTTCGATTGTCCTCCTTTAGAGCATAACCTTCATCACATTGGCAGCGATAACTACCCAAGGTGTTGACACACATTTGACTACAAACACCAAATTGTTCGACACACTCATCTACATCTACACAAATATCCTGCGCCAGTGAATGTTTAAAACCTTTGGGACACACGCATGTGGCTCCCGTTTGTGGCATCATTTTACAGGTAGCAGCCGGTGGACATTTTTTGGTCGCACAATTGTTGGCTGTTTGATTGCAACGGAATGATTCATCGGTACGATCGGGGCAATCTATGTCACCATTACAGGCCTTACCCAGGGGTATGCAGGTGATATTATTGCTACACAAAAATTTATCCATTTCGGGAGTGCAGTTTTCGGCTGAAAAACGAAAAATACGAACGACTTGAGAGAGGACTTCGGTATATTAGGGGGACTTCTACATAGAGGCCAATAAAAAAACATAAAGATGTTTTGAAAATGTTCGGGAAATACATTTTTCCATTTACCAGGAATCCGAATTACCGTCACTTGGTGAAAAAATTTTGCAAAAAATATTTAAAAATATCGTTTTTTTCGCCCTCCAAGAATCCACCATGAAACATTTTGCCGCAACTTACCACAATTTTTCTCATCGCTACCGTCGCCACAATCATCAATGCCATCACATATCCATTTCTTTCGTTCCAGGCAGCGTTTATTTGCACAAAAGAAACCCGTACAACTTGCCTGGGCACGTATACAACCATCTACTTCATCCGAATCATCTACACAATCCGCCTTACCATCACACATAAAATTATACGGAATACATAATTTATCCGATTTACAAGTGTATTCGAATTGTGTACAATTTCGATGTAGGGTCAACCAACCACCGATACCAAAATCGGATGCACCGCTACGTTCATGATGTGCACAATGTTGTTCATCTTCACCGCCGGGACAATTTTCAACATCATTGCACAGGAGATCGGACGACAGGCAGGGGCCGTTCGGCAGTTTGCATTGGAACCAATTGGGTTTACGGCACATTTTATAATCTGTAAAAATTGGAAGACATGTGGAGAAAATTTATTTGGAATAATATCAATATTCAGGATTAATTTGTAAGGTGGTAGACGATAAAGTTTTCAGTTCATTCGTATAATAAAATAAAATGCATCGATATAAGGTAGTATGTTTGATCGGTCCTAACGTTGAATAACATCTACTATAGGGATAAACAACTTTCAGAAGAAATCCATTTTAGGATGCCAGTTAAGGGGATGCTCAAAATAGGTTAATATTTGTTTAGATGCGGACTGATATTCCCTATGAGATGCCCGTGTAACTAAATTTATTTCCATACAAAAAACCTTTCAAACCCAAATGTCTATTGTAACAAAGCGAAGAACTTAGCTGACCAACGACATAAACTGCATGAGAATTTCGCTGGTGCCTCACTTCGAGGTTAACAAGGCATTTACAAACAATTCCATACCTTTCCCACTGTTGTGTGTTGTCACATCGCGACAAATGCACACAACGACTTTGTTGGTGTTGCTGGTATACAGCAACAAACCAAACAGTTTAACCGAGCCTGCGTCTACAACTTCAGTAGTGTTGGCGGTTTATTTGGGATACCATTTTATTTCCGATAACATTGAGAACCTCTCTTCCAGCAATAATAGAAAATTGCAACGAAAAATGTGACTAAACCTTCGGAGCAGAATCGGTATGACATCAAACATTCTCAAGAGGTTTAAAATATCAAAAGTCGGGTCACCATAATTGAGGGTAAAATTTTAAGACATAATCTCATATAACGTCACCCCGACTTTCCTACATTTTGACAATAATGGAATCGTTTTCCTATCGAAATTTTTGCAATATATGTTGAGTATTTTTGAGACTGTGAGACTGTCTGTTAATCGATATTTTCCCGAGTCTGTTTGGGTAGTAATCTACATATTCGTAATGATTTTAGAAAAAAATCCTAACAGAAGTGAGTTACAAAGTCTCCATGAAAAAAAAATTGTAGTTATATATTCATTCGATTTACTATGCTCTCTATTCCCAAGTGGGCTTTGAAACTTCATTGGGGTATTCCTTTGTTGGAGGGTATAAACTGTTCGGCCCTGCTGAACTTATTTCGAATGTTTTCATTGAGAAACTGCGTACTTCCCAAGATCAAGGGCCTCAAATGCGGAATATTTCCTTACATCTTTTGGGGTTCTATTAAAGGTGGCGGTACCATTCGGTAGTTTGAAGTGGATGTTATTTGGTTTCATGGAGTTTTGGTAGACGATATACAATTATTCAGAATATTATGAATATAGGCCCATGTTTTGGCACTGGCCCAGTAAACTGGTCTCGACCCTTTTTCGTCATTTTGAAGGTTTTGGACTCATTTTCTGTAATATGACATTCTGCATGCTGACAAACATCTATGCAGAAAATTATCGAAATAGGTCTACATTTTAATAAATCCCTATTAAAATCAGTAAGGAAAGTTCAAAAGTCGGATAGGGTCGACTATATGATACCCCTCACCACTTTGGGTACATACAAAATATATCCATAAGTACAATATCCTTTAGGTTATACTAATTTCAGTACAATTTTGTGCCAATCAACCTAGCTCTGGGCTTTTGGTGCACCATTTACTTAAAATTGGACGAAACTATTTGAGCAATATTTGAGCAGATTTCAACGAAACTTTCCACAGTTTCGATTATACTAACTACAGTACGATTTCTCCCAATTTCAATAGGGTTCGTCCTAGGGTAAAATTTCATCCAATTCGGATCATAAATGCGACCTGAATCTTGTCTACAATTTAACACGGACAGATAGTCCCGGACAGACATGCATAGATCGACTCGGAAAGTGATTCTATGCATAATCACAAAAGGATCCATGAATCTATCTGGTTTCCTTTGATCTACATTTGGAATATTTCGAAGTGGTTTGTCACATTTTTCCATAAAAACGTGATTGGGATTTGGCATTCGGGGTTCTTGGAACGCACGCAGAAAATTATCAATATAAGTCCATATATTGACATATTACATTTTAAAACCACGACCTCATTTCCAATATCCAAAGGGTTTTGCCACATTTTCCTAAAGAAAAAGTGATGGCATTCTGGGTTCTTTGAGGGCGAAAACCATTTTATTCAGAGTATATTCGATGTTTCGACATAGTCCACCCATATATTATTTTCGTTATTTTGAAGGTTTTAGCCGCATAAACGGATTCTTAGAGGCTTCAAAAAGTTTTAGCAGAATATTTTATGTATACCGGTCCCATTTTCGGAATTTTTAAGACTTTAGTCGTACTTTCCATAATATGTGGCAATAAATTTACATTTTGATTTCTTGGTGAGGGGACATATTTATTTTTGAAGGACTATTTCGATATAGATTCATAGATTTTGACATATTTAGCATTTCCTATTTCAGGTATATTAAATACTTCATCCCGGTAGATCATGTTGTTAAGAGCCCCCATACAAAGGTCTCTCATAATTTTCGTTAAGTAAAAGTTCCTGCTCAGTTTCCAACCCGAGTGTCTGTATTTGGGTGTTTTATTTTGTATCCTGACCTTTTTATGAACACATACACATGAGGAAGGAAATACAATTCAATTTCCACCTCCACCATAGTGTGGAGAGTATACTAATTTTGTTTTTCCGTTTGTAACTCATCGAAATAATCATTTCCGATTCTATAAAGTATGTATACTCTTGATCAGCGTAAAATTCTATGACAATCTAAGCATGTAAAAATTGTGAATAGTATCTTTTGTCTGCAGGCAGGTTAAGTTCGAAGATGGGCTATATCGATCCATGAGCGCGTTTTTCAATCGAATTCGCTGAAATTTGGTACATTGAGTTCTTATTGAGTAGCAAATTTCTCAACTAAAAATTATAAATATAGGTCCACCTTTTCTGGTAATCCCCATATGACGGTACCCCCAATGTTCAGTTTTTTCACGGTTTTACCGCATTTTTCGTCCGAATTAGTTGTTATGTAGTTCTTAGAGAGTTATAAATATAGGTAAATTTTTTCGGTTAGCGCCCATATAAGGGCAGCCTCCAATTTTCGGTAACAATTTTGGCATCTCACTCATATAATGATACCTCCTGAAGGAAAGTATTGAGATGCAAAACTAAAATTTCGGGTTGAGCTATATCGGCCCTATGTTGGGTATAGCCCTTTATATCATGACAACCCCAAAAATTCGCTCATTCCTGCACTATGTAATCATTATTTGTTCCCCTTTAGGCATAGCCACATATAACTTCGGGCAAACTTGAATTTTTTAGGGTACCAAATTTCATCCAAATCGGATCCTAAATGTGACCCGTACTTTGTTCACAAGAATACATGACAGACGGACGGACATACATAAATCAACTCAGAAAGTGACTCTATGCGTATTCTCAAAAGGAACCATGTGTCTATCTCGCCTCCTTTTACCCGTTACAAACATATACATAATACCCTGTACCGCAGTGTGGTGTGAAGTATATAGACATTTTACTTCATTTTCAATATTTCGAAGGGTCTTTTCGGAAGATTTTCAATATAGGACCCCGTTTTTAAGTGCTCCTATACACAGGTCCCGTTTACTTTTCGATATTGTTATAAATATTTTCATTGGACAAAGTTTATGTAAGGGTACCGGTGACATTTCCGAAGCACATATCTTGGTAGCCATACCTTCAAAAAATAAATACATTGTTGTAATTATGACTTCAAGTGGCCATACCCACATTTCTAGCCACATGAATTGACCTCCATATATCCAGAAATATGGATTTCTGCAAAAAATTATATTGGTGTAATCAAGTACCAGCGATCGGGCCCTACCCTTAACTTTTTTTTAAAAAAAATAAAAAAAACTTACCACAATCAATTTCATCTGAATTATCGGAACAATCAAAGCGGCCATCACACATTTTCGTTTTTAGAATGCAACGACCATCTTTGCAGGCAAATTGATCCACATCACATGGTCCTCTGGCATCAGCATTCGAAATCAATTGCAAAAGTACACACATGACAAATATACACAACGATCGATGACATACAAATTTGCTACCAACATTTCGGGCGGCAGAGAATTCATTAACATTGCCAAATTTCTTGCGAACATTGTATAACGGACGTTGTAAAATACAAGCCCTATGGATGAGACACATTTCGATTTTTTTTGTTATCCAACAATTATTTTTTTAGGTTATGTATCACAATTATTCATTCGCACTTACATTCGCTTAAAATTTATAATGTTTTATTATTCAGATTTTAATAAATTAACAAACAATTTACTTGACAATAAATAATAATTTAACAAAAATGAGATAATTTATTTTTTACAAATTTTGTAGCACACTACAATTAAATTACAATAACAAATACACTTCTGTTTGCCAAACCGTATAGTGCGCGCAAAAATATTTTTTTGCAAGCACTAATAGCCTGACTTCAACTGAACAATCAATTAAACGAAATTTGCCAAAGAAGACAACTCGAAATCAACTCCGTCTGTTTGCTATCTTTGTCAATCGTGTGATGCGCCAATTCATGGAATTCTTCATATTCGAACGGAAAATATACAGTTACCTTTCGAATTTTTGTTGTTATTAGTCTTTAATTTTGTTTTCTTTAGTTTTATTTTACTATATTTCTTTGTGTTTCTACAAATTGTTATATTCTGTTTTGTTCTACTTCAGTGATGGGCATATTTATGAAAAAAAGTTGGTTATTACTAAGTTCTTGTTTTTAATTAAACTAAAAAAAATATTTCAAAACTGTATCTCTGCTTTAAAAGTCATGACAATATTAGTGGTATATATAAGTAGAAACAATTAATTTCCCAAAAGTTGAGTTAATAGTTAATTTCATAACGCCTAAAAGTATGATAAGAACGTATTGGATATTTATTGTAGTAAAGCCACAAACCTCAAACACATTATTATGTACGGTATTTTCAACGATGTACATACAGTCCCATTGTAACTATAATAATTTTGAGAGTCGGTCTTCAAATTGAAAGGTGGCGTTTGTGCTCATGGACTTTTTATTAATAGAAAGAAGTGTATAAAATTACAGTTAATTGATACATGTTTAAGTTTTAGGTTTGTACAAAAAATAAATTAAATGTGCAAGGACATTTGAAATGTTGATTGTGGCCTTTGGCGAGTCTACTATGAGCAGAACACAATTGTGGTATAATCGGCTTAACCCGTTTTGGCCGAATTTTCTTACGTGGCTATAAAACTATTTTCTGTGCAAGGGTTTAATGCATATATACTAAATAGGATATGAATAAAATTTGACGTCGCTACATCCTTGCATTCGGCAAATACAGTGCCTTCTTTCCGAAAAATAAAAGTCCAATATCAACAAAACCAAATGCAATATCGACGAAAAATCTATTTTAATTATAAATTAGGTTCTTTTTACAAGAACCAAAAATAATTTCGAGGGTACAACTCGTAAATTTCGAATACGGAGCTATTTAAATAATTTGGGCTGTATACACAATTTAGTACTGTACACATTTTTGCATCCAACTATATATTGAAAAGCACATAACTTCACCAATTAAATTTTTTTGATTTTTCTTTTGATATGTGTCCTCCATAATCAGATCTTAACCTGTGTTTTGCAAAAAATATATATTTACTCGCTGAGTTTTAAATATAAGCATTAAAACATTTTGTTGCCTGTGGGCAACATTGGACCATAAAGGGTTACAGAAGGCCGGGAAGATAACAATGACTATGGTCATCCTGGTCGACCGAGCACGTCAACAAAAATAAGTTTGTATAATTGTCGAATCATTAACAGAGAGGTTGGTGATGATATTGACATTCATTCGCTGGTTTTAGCTTTTAAACATCGACAACGACGATCCAGATTGCCTCAAAAAGGTTACAACTGTTGGCAAATGAATCATGGATACCAAGCTATGATATTGAAACTAAAGCTCAATAATCACAATGTGCATGTTCCTAGCATGGCCCCGCTAATGTTTTCATCTTCGTAAAACTGAAAACACCGAAGAAAGGAAAGCAAATTGAGAAAATAAAACAAATAGGAGCTGTTTGATTTGCCAAAAACGTGTGAAAACCTACGATCAACAATCCGGCACATTCGTACCTTTTTATACTCTCCCCCATAGTATGGAAGGTACATTAAATTAGCTATTCCGTCCGTAACTCATCGTTATCATAATTTCCGATCACTTATCACTATATCTATCCATTATTTGAGAATATGTCCGTCCGTCTTCTATCTGTCTGTCCATGTTAAATTGTAAACAAAGTACAGGTCGCATTTAAGATCCGAGTTGGATGAATTTTAGCACAGCTAATTAACTTGGCCCACGGACGAACTCCATTGAAATTGGGAAAAATCGGTTCATATTTAGATATAGTTGCTATATATATTTTTGTGCGATTGAAGGTAAGCGGTGGACCAAATTACCTGTACATCTTTGCATTTGCACGAAATTTGGCATAGCGTACTGAATTAAGTCTAGAATGTTGTGAGTTAAATTTTGTGAAAATCGATGCAGATTAAGATATAGCTCCCATATATGTTTTCGTCCGATTTATTGTAAATGGTGCACCAAAGTCCCTAAATATCTTTCGATTTCAACGAAATTTAGCAAAGCATACTGAATTAAGTCTGAATTAAGTCTAGATGTATGTTAAGTTTCAGGGAAATCGGTTCAGATTTAAATACAGCTTCCATATATATTTTCGTCCGATTTAATGTAAATGGTGTACCAAAGTCCCTATATAATTTTCGATTTGCACAAAATTTGGCATAGCGTACTAAATCGACAAGTTTCGTTGAAATCGGTTTAGATATAGCTTCCATTAATATTTCCACATTCCATCCACATTTTTCTCAGATTGACGCGAAATTTTGCACAAATTGAATATAGAACGACGTAGTTTCTTTTTGTTGAAATTCAGACATATATTCGACCGACTTCATGTTTATTGGGTTTCAAATAATCAACAAGTGCCCGATTGAGATTTGCTTTAAATAGATATACATAATCTGGTCTCATTATCTATCTATCCAAATGAGGAGTTAAGTATAGGTTACAGAATGACATGTTTATCGATTGATCTTAATCATTTAGATATAGGTCACATATTTTAGTTCATCAAATTTCAAGTCAATGGTCCTTTGAAAATGCGACGTCTGTTAGAATGCATCTGTTTAGTATACCCAAAGTGGTGAAGGGTATCATATAGTCGGCCCCGTCCCGTTTTAAGATGTATGAGAGTTGTGAAGGGTATATATATTTATACCCTACATAACTATGTTGTCAGAATATTACAGCTATAATCAGCACCAAGAGTTTTTAACGCCGCGAAATATTGGACCTAGACCCACCTTTACGTATATCGATCGATACCTAGATCGACTAGCTGAGTCGATCAAGACCTGTGTGCCCGTCCATCTGTCCTTTACAATTTGTAAACACGATATAGGCCTCAGTTATGGACCAATCTTCACGAAATTTTGCATGTAGGATGGGTTGTGACCAATGAACACCCCTATTGTTTTTGGTAAAGATCGTTTAATATTTAGAGGATGAAATGAACAAAAAGCTTTATTTTTGTCTGAGGATTTTTGAGGGGATCGCACCAAAGAATAAGAATAAGCATGCCTGTTTTGATAAAGATCGGTCAATATTTAGCGGGTCAAATGGACCCAGACTTTTGTGTGAAAAATAACAAAATTTGTATTCTATAGCGTATATATTTACCACTGATGGACAAAGACCCGAGAAGTTGATAGCATATTCAAGCGGAGTGGTTGACCTTTATTGATAACAATTATATTGTCGTATGTACTCGGATGTGGGAGTTACTCTCATTTAGTAACCCCTTTACCACACTAGAAAGCGAAAATATAGAGCTGATCGCTTTGAAATTTTCCACGAGGATCCAGGTACGATCAATGACAACGCCTATAATTTTCGGAGATGATCAGATAATAATATTCGGATGAAGTGGACCGAAAACTTAATTGTTTGTGTTTTTTTTCGAGTCGATCTATAGGCCACAATTAAAAGCCGAACATTACAACACAAACTACGGTAAAGGGAATCTGAACATGTAATTAGAAAAGCTGTACTGAATATTAGAAATATTCGTGGAAATTGTATATGGTTTCATATGGTCGGCCAGGTCCGACTATACTGCTCCGCTCACTGGTTTTTTTATTTATATTGCTAAGAAACTATCAGAATCTTGAATAAAAAAATATTTTTTTAGGAGTTCTTAGAGTTATTTTCAAGTGCCAACTCAATTTTTACGTTTTTATATATGGCAGATTGTTGTAATCTAACTTCACATTGTAATTGCAGGTTCTCAGTAGGTGTCTGGAGCTTAGTTCAATGCCTCCCTCGTTCACCTAAGATATAAATCATTGACAGTATATGGGAAGAATGGTATGGTCTACATTGATAAATTGTCTAGGCTTGGTTGCCACAAAAAGCCATTCATATAAAAAAGTTAAAATGTGACACAAAGCCGTCGTCATGGTACATGATTATAATTGTTTCATATTATAATAAGTTAAGCTTATGCTTAGGTTAAATTAGTTAGGAACATGCTGAAGTTCTTTAATTTGGTATGTTAATCTCACTGATGAACATAAAATATTTTCAACAATTAAGAAAAATAACAAAAATAATTAATGTCGGAATTTCCTCGTTGACATTGTACAACACAAGAAGTGTTTTTCTTGACAATTGCGGATGTAGGAAAACAGATCTTCCTTTGAAATATTTAACATTAGCAAATAATTTATTTAAATATTTTTAATTACAGCAGGTTATCTTTTGTGTGACAAATTCCCAAGAATTGTGTGAGGTCACAATTATAACATGTTCAAATTCAAAATCTAATTACCCAAAATGATGTTCAGAATTTTATTTTGCCAGGTATGGGGCCATGTAGCTATTTTCATTTGTTTTGTTGCTTTGCTTTGTTAAACACTCTTAAAACAAGCTATTAGCTTTGGA